TCTCTCTCTCTCTCTCTCTCTCTCTCTCTCTCTCTCTCTCTCTCTCTCTCTCTCTCTCTCTCTCTCTCTCTCTCTCTCTCTCTCTCTCTTTAAGGCTTGCATTTCCATTCATATAGATAGGTTTTGATGCCTGGAATCCCTCAACAAACAACCCCGAGAAGGGTGTCTGGCCCGTCTGGGGCCATTACCCCCCAGCATCCCACAATCGGCAAGCTCATTGAAGAATTACAGGGGGAAACTGACCAATTCATCAGAAAACAGACACCAAGGAGAAAAAAAAAGGACTTGCAAGTTGCAACTACCAAATTCCTGACATCCTGGGAACCCGATCCAGCGTCCCGTACGTGCCACTCAGTACCGGTAGATGCTGGACATCGGGTCCAGCGTCCCATACTAGCTATTGAGTACGAGTAGATACAGTCTGAGGAAGTAACAGGCTACAACAATTCCTGAGTGATAGCTGGAGTTAACTAGACCGTGATCAAGACATGAGCCAGAGGTCGATCCGCAGTTCCCCTTTGGATGTAAGCCCATGACCAATTGTGATCTGTTCCCCCAGGTCCTCCCGAACCATTTCACCACCTGTATCATGTAACCCCTTGCTGTTTTCCATCCCCAGTCGCAAGTCGCCGATGGTAAGGTATCTGATCTGGGGCTTTACTTGTGTGGTGGGTGATCTCTGATAGTGACTTGCGGTGATTTCGGAACAGCTTAAACCACCAGTACTTGGCCCAGCTATCGGCTGCGGAAAAAAATAGAGTAGAAACGTTTCTAGTCGAATGAATTTGGGCGCTCCAGTAGTAGCCCGTACGTTTCCTAAAATCGTGGCACGCTAACGGGCACGACTCTAGGAACTACTGGTGGTTTAACATTGCGATCTTCCCACAGGGCGCCCATAATAATGGCCATGAATCCTGATGGCCTGAGCAACGTAGCCCGAGCCAGAGTGAGGGGATCGGCACGCCGTTCAGTGTCCATCCTTCGTCCCAGGGCATCAGGTCATTTGTAAGGTTATCCTCAGAGTGAGGCGATAGGCCTGCTGGGCATCGTGTTTTTTCCACCAGGTCCAAACCCTCAACGAAAGTGGCCATGAGTACCAGAGGTGACTAGAGGTCTCCCAAGCCCACAGGCATCTGGAGCACGTGGTGTCAATGTCCATGCCTTTGGAGTGAAGTCAGGTGGGAGAGCCGGTGGGTAACCAGCAGTGATTGAGAGTAGCCCTCTCCCTTGAAGCAAGCGTCACCCTCTCGTTCGTGTCCGCCCTGACGAGAACACACCACCGCCGCCGCCACCCTTCCTCCGTCCCCACATACGCACCATCCTACCTGAGACAGAAGGGATTTCTGAAATGTGTCAGGCGCGAACAGCTATAGCCAGGAGAGTAGCCCTCTCCCTCGAAGCAAGCATCACCCTCTCGTTCGCGTCCGCCCTGACGACAACACGCCGCCGCCACCGCCACCCTTCCTCCGTCCCCACATACGCACCATCCTACCTGATACAGAAGGGATTTCTGACATGCGTCAGGCGCGAACAGCTATAGCCAGGAGAGTAGCTGTTACATCTTCGACTCACACGGGTCCTACCGGACCCTCCGGCCCACCAGGGCCTAAAGGCCCGACCTTTTGGGGTTACAGGCCCTAAAGGCCTGATTTTGGACCAGCACCCATCGGGTAGGCCCAAACGACACTTTGTTTGGGCCTGGCGGCGCTCTTGAAGCTGCCGCCCGCCGATTGAGGCTGAACCGTCCATCTGGACGGTCCAGGGTCTGGCCTGGCCTCGCAGCATTGAGGCCAGACCATTG